TACCTTCAACTGAGCAGAGGTCCTACAAGGACTAGTCTTACTATAGTCAATAACTGTACCATTATCAGAGCCACGGCATGAAATAACATCAAGAGGGACTTGCTTGGTATCTGAGGTCGGATCCATGGACATGTCACCTTCCCCGTCCGGAATTGACTCAAGGAACACCTTGCGATTGCCAGGTACAGCAGTGACGGGTTGTTGAGTACTGTAGCGGCCAGAATCCAATAATCTTGGCCTGAACGCGGGAAATAGCTAGGCGGTGCCAACTGACGTGAATCTGACTAGTTCCTGCGTTCTACTGTATAGCTTCCTAACTTCCGCGAGTGACGCACAGTCAAAGGTTGGATCGAAATATCAAAACACGGTTTGTAGTAATTCAATAGTAGATTCGTAACAAAATCTGTGGTACTATCAAAGCAACAATAAGTTATGTCAAATTACAAAAATACCTCAACAGTGCCGTTGGGTAACTATACAGTCCAAAACGTTCTCGGGTACAAATACGTACTACACGGTAAAAACTGGTTAAAAAATACAACTGTTAAATACCTGTCGGTCAATAGGAATATTCCCGGCAAAAGGGATCAAAACTCTGCCTACAGGAATCAAATCAACAAACAAACGTTCCCAGTAGACAGTCAAAAGACAAACAGTCAAATCACTGCACAACCGTAAGTTGAACCAAAACAAAATGTCGTGCGCAGTAAAACAACATCACCTTATCAACAGTCCAGCGTCACATAATAGGAAAGTGAAACACTCATAATAAGTCTCAAACATACAAAGGCAAATACCGAGTGTAAAGTCAAATAAGACAGTTAAACAAGCAAATAACATTACACCGGCGAGGGTCAAAGGTACACCATCCATAACGAGGGTAAAAATGTTAAAATAAATGTCAATACAATCAAATAAGGGTGATCGGGAGGGATTTTCAGATCATTTTTCCTTTACACCGTCTACTTCACAAACTTTAAGCCATCCTGACACGATTGATTGAACCTGAAGTTCTGATCCAGAGAGAACATGTTTAAGAGCTTTTCTTCTATTGGCCTTCAAGAGACTGGAAATTGGTTTCGTCTCCTTTATTTGTTGTTGCCTCTTTCACCATCGCTTTCCTTGCCTGCACATATCACCCTAAAAATAAAAGGATCATAAAAAGCTATCTTCTAACAGCCCCTAACTCCATTCCATTTTGAAAGTGCACTAGCCCCAGGCTTGGCTTATTACTACATTCACGGTCCAATTTGCCTCTGTCGAACCTGATGAGGATCTATTGAAAATGATATTCTCCGCTCACACTGTCCAGGCATGTTTTTCCCAAATGGAGTAAATGTTCTTGTCGCCCTTCCCCACGTTTTCTCAATGAGTGGAGGATGTTAGCACGTTGAATGCTTGAATATTTGGCCTCATTTATCTTGAATGTTTCACAACATCTCAGGGGTCAACGATTTTCACTTGAGTGGAACTGTTTCCACTTTAGAGCATGGCCGTTAGCCTTCGAAATATGTTCCAAAACAAAGAAGCCAAAGGTCTATCATAGTGGTTGATGAGGATCTTGGACTGGGGAATTCTGAAGGACGCCATGAAAAGTTTCTTCCTCGTCAGGGGAGGTGGTAGGGTCTGCTTTTATTTCCTCCTAGTCTGCCAAGGCGGCCATCAAACCGACAACGCATAAACGTCCACCTTGAAAGTTGAGCTGATGACGCCGCACAGCGTGTCTCCTCTCTAAAAGTTCTAATGATCATCTTTTTCACGGTTTCAGTTGTTCACAACAATATGGTAAGTGAAACCACTAGCAAGCAGTTATTAGCATCCCATTTCTTGATTTGAGGGTGATTACCAGAATGAACTGCGCACTACCATTAATTCGAGAATTCGTTTGACACTGGCATGTCCCGAAAGGAGGCACACATAAGTTCGTTTGCGATTTCGGAGATAGTTCTCGAGAGGGCTGGCTTCAGATCGTCGCTGTCTGGGGATTCGCCTCACCAAAAACTAAACGACTATTAGAATTTTCAGGACTGGAGACGTGAAACAAGTTTCCATTTACATCAGCCTGCTTTGTGTTGTTTACTACCGAAGTGGTAGTATTTCAAGCATTCGGTAGCGTCTCAGATCGCGAATCCAATCGCTTGGCCACCCCGAAACTGTTCAGCAGGTTTCCATTAGGGCATGTTATGAGGCCGACACTCGGGCTGGTTGACCATCTTTAATATATGAGAAGATTTAGGCTCATTGGGTTACTTTTTGCTCTTCTCACCGAATCCGGCCGTTGGCCAAGCTTGATACTGTGGGCTTTCATAGTCCCGTGGTTGTCGATCGTTTCGTTGGATGAGAAATATAGTTCTGAACCACCAAGACCGTTTGAACCGGTAACTTTTGTCTTAGATGAGCTTCTCTTTTCCATGCCAGAGCCTATGGCTTTTTATGGATGCCCTAAGTGTTGCCTCTTGCATACCAGCGGATACCTTCAAGAACTATGTTTCCTACTTCTGTTTAGTGCTCATCTGTCATGAGATTTCAGTACTCGAGCCACGGCGGAGAAGTAATTTATTCCCTCATTCCCGTGCGGCTGGACTTACAGATACAGAGGAAGGTGCTGGATGTTTCCGATAACAGAATAACCCCATTTATCACCGTTCAGGTTGCTACCGGAGGGTCGCTTATACCGGAAGATGGCTGAAGGAATACCTTCTCGGCGAAACGATTGCTTTTCGGGATTTAGTTCGGGGCGTGGTTCATTTCCACCAGACCTTTACCAGGTTTCTCCACTCATTTTCTTAGGGAGATGGCCTGTTCTGATTGAGTTTTTCAGCCTATGACTGGAGGAAAAGTGGCATATTTCCCTTCCATTCCCAAGAGACCGGGAGATGTGTTAGAGTCACTGGTTACTTTTACGGAGCCGTATTTCTGCAAAGGCTGCTGCCATGATGGTATTAACCATCTCCCTCCCACCAAGTGTGCTCGTTAGAGACTTATGTATGATCCACGACAGGTATTTTAACGCTAGCAAGTGAAATGTTGCTGCGAGGAGTTCACCAACTTCTACTACCTTTAGATGGAAGCTTGCGTCGGGGCCACCTCTCTAGCTTTCTTTGATTTTGGGAGAGTGGCACGCCTGCTACATGGATATTTTCACCAGAAATGTCCGATGAAGGCCGGTGCTCTCTTTAAGCAGGACATTTTTGAGCAGATCGTCATGGTGTTTTCGCTCCCATCATTTTCTCCCCTAGTTTTCTGACACTTTTATGCACACGTTTATGCCCGCTCCAGGTAGTCAGACGAGCACGATCGTGTTCTTCTGCTAGGGAATAATGCGACGGGTGAGTTCAGATAGCAGGTAGTCATTTTGCAAGAGATTGATAACATCCCTCTTTTCAGGTTTGGAGATGGTCACTTCAGTGGGCGGCCATTTTGATGCTTGGAGTGGTTGGTCCGCGACGTCCTCCCTGCATGATCTTAGAGATCGCGGCAGCTACCACCAATCTTTTGGCCTTCTGGATCTTTATTTACTCTCACCTGGTCGGACCGCACCTCACATGTCCCTTTAATTTGTACAGACCTTCAAAGACTTCGTGAATGACTCATGTCAGTGAGATCAGATGACAAGTTGCCTGGGAGCGGGCACCCGCTTTGAGTGTGTGAGCTTCCCATTCTAGACAGCCAGAAACAAAAATAAAATCAGAAAAGGGTAGCAGATTCGCCTGGTAGGTAAAGAGTAGTCCCATAGGAGAGTTCGGTAGAAGTGCATCTAGCATCAACCTTCAACGCATTCCGAATACCCAGTGGGATTAGAGGCAGACCCTCGGTCCACTAAGGTAAGTTCGCAGCTGAAAAATTCCCTCTCAGCTGTTGATGGAAACGTTCTAGCATGCCATTTGCTTGTGGATGGTAGGCCTTCGTTCGGAACCGAGTGAAACCTAAAATTGCAGTTGAAGCGTGAAATAACCCACACTCGAATTGGCAGCCACGGTCAGCTGTTACGCAAGATGGACATCCAACGTTTGCAATTCATCCTTCGACAGAAACACCAGCGACGGTTACAGCGGTAACATGCCCGATGGGTACTGCTTCTTGCCATCTCATGAAGCGATCCATGCAAGTGAGAAGGCGCGTCCGGTAGATTCTGCTGGAGGTCCCACAATATCCATTTTGGTCTATTTATTGGGGATGGAAGGGACTTAAGGGTTTGTGGTCTTTGAAAGTGGTAAAGTCACGACCTCCCTCCGAATGCCGGAAATGGTGTACAGAACAGTACGTAGCTGGGGATTCAAAATCAGATGTAATGTACCCAGTTTCCAATGCTTTATGGAAGATGTCTTCCACGGTTTAGATTTTGTCCATGTCCACATCGATGACTATTTCATTGCGAGTCCAGATAAAGAAACTCACCTTCGACATTTGGTCCTCGTATGCAGGAGGCTGGGAAAACGTAGCATCACAGTCAGTTTGGTGAGGTGTGCGATGCTACATCACTTCCATCATGTGGATTTTGTCACCAGCAGCGTTTCGACGGCTTCATGAGTAAGAAGGGATACAAGCTTGCTGTTAAGCTTGAACAGACAGTAAGGTATACAAACTTGGCTCCAGCAGGCGAGGTGGATGACGTAAATATGGTATAAAGACCTTTACAAAGCTTTCGCAGAAAGTAACTCAACCGGAAATACTCAGTCGGAGATAAAGTAAGTTAGGTTTCCATGACCAGAACAAGAGTGAAATGTTATCATATCCTAACACACGACGTCAACGCGGCACAGAAAGCTTTAAAGAAAGCCACTGAGGCTCAAAAATGAAAAGTCTTTGAAGGTTAGTTGAATTACTTCATGCCATAGTGTTTAAGCGGCTAACTGACAGTTCTTGAAATCGTAATCGAGGTCATTTTCTTTTTTAAGATTATACATTAGATTTGAAATGATGAGTAAGCCATATCTTTCAAGAATTATTTGAAATTCATCCTCTGAACTGTGTGCGTGTTTAAAGTGCCACAGGTAATTGTTTAGTAAGGTCAATGGGACATTGAACGTTGCTTTGGGGTGTATTGGATTGTGTGCAGCAACCACGATGGTAAGTTGGTGTTTTCATCATGACATATTCTATAGGATCTCATGTTGCCGGAGAAATTTCAGCACATTCTTCGTGTGATGAATACAAATATTGATGGTCAACTGAAGATTATGTATGCTATTACCTCAATCAAAGGTGTTGGTCGACGGTATGCTAATGTTGTGTGTAAGAAGGCCGATATTGATCTAAACAAACGTGCTGGTGAACTTACTGAAGATGAGGTGGAGAAACTAATAACAGTCATGGGTAACCCAAGACAGTACAAAATCCCGGATTGGTTCTTGAATCGACAGAAGGATGTTGACGATGGCAAGCACTCCCAACTTATGTCTGGTGCCCTGGAAACTAAGCTACGTGAAGATCTTGAACGATTGAAGAGGATAAGGTCCCACCGTGGTATACGTCATTATTGGGGGTATGTGCACGTTGGTGTGATGGTGTTATCTAATGGGATGTAACTATAGCATATAACCCAGCATAGAGTGACAGCTTCCTATCCCATATGTTTTCCTGATGCCAAGAGACGTAGTCTCGTTCTTGCCTTAGTAGCCTCTCGCTTCTTGGAAACAGTTGTCAGTGGCATTTGCAGGTACTTCTGACGTCCCTCATGTGATTGGGTACGGATATTTGATCTGCAGCATAGCTTAGGGAATTCAAATTCAGTTTAACTGCGTATAGATTCTGGCCTTCAGTTGCACTCTTACGAGTTTGTGTTGTTCTGACTGAATGTGTTTGGTGTCACTTGCAATTGATTGATTTTTGTGTGATCATAACTTGGTGTGTTTTTATCTAAACTGTGGTTTATTATTTTGACAGCTGTATGAAGTCATTTATGTTAGACACACGATAGTCTACATACTTAACCGTTTTCAAATCTTTCGGAGGAAGTTGACGAAAACGTTAGGTGACTTGGACTTGTGTAGATATCTTTTGGACCTGGAGTTCTGTAGGATGCCCTGTTTTTACTCAGGGTGTTTCTTTCGGAGAACAACTGGTAAATCTTAACTAGCCGTGTTTGTTTTGGCACGTAAACACCTGAGGTCTAATTTCAAAAGTTCTTACCGAATTCAAAACCAGTTATACTGTAACATTCGTTTTCCAACAAATGGTCTAGGTGATTACGTCAGCATCTCTATTTCGAGGAAAATGTATGTATAGAGCCTTTTTTCAAGGAACGATTGTCATTTTCTCGACAACGATTAGTATAATCTCAATTTCAGTAAATGCATTGTGAAAAATGTCTTGGTATTCACTTTTTTTCGGTGTCCTCCCATTTTTAGGTTGCGAGTCCGTGGTCAACATACAAAGACAACTGGACGACGTGGTCGAACTGTCGGTGTGTCGCGGAAAAAGTAGTTGCTAAATAAATAATTTCGGAAACATCCTTTTTTACTATCTTGGACAAGAAATCAAGGTGTCTTGTGTTATCGGATGGGATTTCGGAACTCAGGTCTCATTCATACCTTTAAAGCGACTAAGCACTGTTGTCCTATTTTCGAGGATATTGTTAGGCTTTGCTGCAACTCGTGCCAATTAACGTAATCTTTAGGCAGTACGGTAGGCGTAAAATTGACTAAAGCTGTGTCCCTCAAACCTTGCCTGATAGCAATGGAGCTGTTTTGTGGGTAATTTAGATTTCGATAACAGATGTTCTTTAACCATGAGCTTTTTGGGTTACTGGGTCCCATGACGTGTTTTCTAGACGTCACTTAGATTTGGGACGCATGCACAAGAGGTATTGCCATGAGCTCCCGAGTGACTTCCAGTTAGTCTACTTTATGTTGCACTACTGTTTATAGTCATTACCCACTGCTCACTAATGGCACTTGTGTTATCCTCACGGATGTCAGGTTTCATTGTTCTTAGTGGCAGCTCGTCCATAGTGACTACTTTGTATAGGCAGAGGTAAGGTATGTTCTCAATTCTGCTTACTGTTATTCGTTGGTGCTTCTTATTGATACAATTAACGAAGTCGACCTGAGTTGCATTGTAGGTTGTTCCTAACCTAACACTAGTATTAAAAAAGGTAGGTTCAATAAAATGAAATGCGAATTCCCCATGATCTCTACTCCCTGCCAATGACTGGTCTCAGTTCATGCCACTAGAAGCTCGTACTGCTCCAGTCGTATTGGCTCTTTTAGCATACTGAAGAGCAGTTTCTATTGGGGTTTTCGTCAAAGCAAGAACAACACATTAAGTTGAGCTCTTATTTATTTCTTGGCTTCTCAGTTGTGAATAGTTTAAAATAATGAGTGGGATTGAATGAAGAATGGACTTTTGAGCTAGAGGGAATTGGCTGTGCACGTCAGGAAGCGTTGATATAGCGAGCAGAGCTCAGCAATAGTTACTTAGTCATTTTATCCTTTGCTAAGTTTGTGGTTATTGCGGGCGCGGCGAAGTAGGGAGATGAATACTCCTTGACTTCGTTCTGCATGTCTTTTTCTTTGTTGAAAATGACCTAAGGAATACGTGTGGGTGCATTCGAATTTGAAGCTGTCACAGACGCTCGTTATACCTTTTAAATCCAAATCTAAATATGCGTCTGGTAGTATGTAAATTATCTTCCCCAGTTGTGGCTGTGCAGTAGGTTTGAAGTGATCACTCAGCGCCTGAATGCATTTATTATAACTACTTTCGTAGGTTCACAGACTTTTCCAAGCCTTATTGTAAATGTGGGTTACCCATTGTTAGAAAATTTCCGAACTGACTGGTGTTCGTGAACTGTCCTGTGTAATGTAGAGATACAGAGTCTTCACCTTTTCCTTTGCTGTTAGCCTCCAGTAAGCGGTGAAGATCTTGGCGGTATACAGTGACATGGAACCAGTTCCTATCACCTGTACGATCTTTATTGCACCGTAAGAAGTGGTATTTTGTATTGTTCTGTATTTTCTTCACCTCTTCCTCGCTTATGTTTTTTTAAGTCATCATCAAAACGGGGCTTTGTGTTACTGCGTAACGGTTACTGTTCCACACTGCAGCTATTCCTGAGCCATATCGCATAAGGTCTAACCGCCGATTTCAGTTTCCAAGTGGGCACCGATTGGAAGGTCTGCGGTTTTCTACATTACTCAGATAAACAGTCAGAGGCTTGTTGAGCAGATGCCTTTAATATGAGAGTAAAACTTGGGCACTTTGACAGGATAGTCCCATGTTAGATTGTTTATTTGATATGACACATAGTTATGCAATATTATATACCGGATGACTTTCCTAGTAGGATTTATTGCTCATATTCATATCATAGTAGTCCTGCGACTTACAAACTTATGTAGTCCAACAGTCGGTCAGAATAGCAGAGCACAAAAAGAACTGGTAGATCCTACTAAGATGAGTAGTTGAGAGGAAAACTCGGCCATTGCTACGCAGGCACTAAACCACGAACACACTATAGTCTAGGATAGGGGGACAATTTACCTAGGTCGGAGGAGAAATCGGTCACAGAATCTTAGTTAAGTGAATCAACATGCAACAGAAGTAACTCTTTATATATCTAGAAAGTTTTACCACCGTTAAAATAAAAGGATGTTGGACTGTCGGATTATGTAAACGAAGTTTGAAAGTCATGATTATTTTAATATGAGGCGTTAAATTCTGCCTGAAATGTCCTCCAGTAAGTAGTATTGCATCACTGTGTTATTTTTTGTTTTCCCCTTGGGTTCCTAGTGAAACATAGGGCTTCAGTATCACGTCTCCGTTGCACTCTGTTCCTGGAGTCTTTTGAACCTGGCGCCACGACTACCCACAAGCCTTCATTTCTTCCTCACATGATCTCAACCACGTCACCCTCGGACGCCCAACTCTTCGTTTCACCTTTAAATTCCACTCGAGGGCCTGGCACGTGATGTTTCCAATCGGCCTTCTCAGTGAATGCCCAATCCATCTCCACTTTCTTCTGCATATTTGTTGGGCGATAGGTTCTTGGTTGGTTAGTTGCCAGCCAGCGTTCCTTGTCGCTTATTCTTTCTGGCCATCTGATCTGATCTTCAGTATCGAGTGAGCGTAGGTGGTAGCTGTTGATGAATGTCTGTAGTTTGTTGGAAATGCTTTTCGTAACGCGCCGCCAAGTCTCTCAACCATCATATAGAAGCACTCACCTGATGTTGGTGTTGAATATCCGGACCTTATTCACGCTTAATGCTGAGTGCAGTGCAGTGCAGTAGATCTCCACACTGATTTCAGATTAGTGAAAGGCTGTCTTGCTTTTCCTATCCTGGTTTTGACATCCTCATGTGTGCCTGTGCCGCCTGTAGTTGAAACGATGCTGCTTACAAAGACAACTTCCTTTAGATTTCTCCCGTATGCCATATTAATTAAACAATCTGGTGAGGAAAGATGCTACACTTAGTTTGCCCAATCGAAAAATAAGCCTACTTCAGATAGCATTGTACGTTGGGTGTAAGTGGTGACACACAACCTTGTTAAAAATTATTTCTTTTGCGTAAAAAATGTGCCTTACCTCTACACTAGTAATCTGATGATTTTATGCCATAGGGCAATGGTGCGAACTGTGAAGCGTTTTCACATAAGCATTTCCTTGCCCTAGATATGGTCAAGCGACTGTGCGGTTTACTAAGACTTACGCGGATGGTTTATTTTCGAATGTATTGATTCAGATTGGTTTGTCAATGTGCAATTTCCTACCTACAATCGCACTCAATAAACGAAAGTTTCTGATTACTTAGGGAGTTAGGAAGCTATGGAAGACTTGATTTACGTGAAACCCATTATTTACATAAATTGATATCGGTGTTTTTTTCTGGTGATATTTATATTTTATAACCATGTTAAGAGTAACAGAAATTCGATCGGAGCTATAAGATTATGCATAAATAATTTATTTCGATGGTTACTATTTCATAATTAATAACCAAACATTTGGGTTTAATAGCTGACTGGAATAGCATACAATGATCCATGTTTGTCTTTGATAGGAAAACTTTTCCTCATACTTAAACACCTCTGGTCGATGGACAACGAGTTTTCCTTGTTTTCTATTTCCTGTTCTAGAAGATTTCGACTTTTCTGGAGTCTGGCTAGCGTAATACAAGCATTTCTTCGTTCGTTCTTCAGCTCTTCAATTGTTTTTCTGAGTTCTAACACTTCGGTCTGGAGTCTGCGGAGAGAGGAACAATTAATATGTTAAGGCAGCATATTTTATTCGTTCTCTGAAATAGAAATGTCACTTTTTGCTGCTGGTAATAAGTTTAGAAGTGGTGATTTAAATTGTAGTTTTGGACCTAAAGAGCACGGAATTCTATCGACTGCATATGGTTGATAAGTTGAGTAGGCCTGTCTTTGTTTGTTAACAACTGCTTTTTTTCTGTGAAGATGGGAGCGCATATGTAATTGAAGTGAATCGGTAAAAGATGGAAGCTATTCCTATATTTAATTTATAGCCGACTCAATACAAGCCATCTATGTTTCTTTGAATGTCATTTATTAAAGCGATTAAAAGACTAGGACATTTTATTTAGCATGACAAACACTACGCAGTTATTTACGTAAGGTTTCAGAATTACAATGTTTCCTTTCTAATTCACTCGTACGAAGCAAAATTATTGCCTTCAAGCGAATATATCATTCATTGGAATATTCTGTTGTCATCACACTATTAGGTGAACTGGGAAGATATCTTGTTTCTGACCTCTGTGATATTTCCAAATATAGTGACTCGTTTTAATTACTTATCCACTAGATATTACTTGAATAGTAGGCACTAGCAAATGTGAGGTCACTTGTCATTTCAGGATGGTTATCATTCAAAATCGTGAATTCCAGCAACCAAGTGCAAGTTCACACAGGCTGTTAATATCATGTGTTGCATGCATAACGAGTGGTTAAACTATCTGGATGCCTAGACGAGTTGGGTGGGAATGAGACTTCAAGCGCAGTGATTTTTTAAGCGGGTACTTTTAACGAAATATTTAAGCTCACAAGCGTAATGTTGGTTTTTGTCCACTGCTCATTTGAGTTACATAGGTAATGAAGTACAAAATCGCATCAGTTATACTTATCACCATTGTAATGTAAGCATTTTAAATAGTTACTTATACGTTGTACTGGTTTGCACTTGATTATATTCCTTAGAGAATTCTAATATAAACGGCATACTGAATTAGCCAAGTATGTAGAGCTTCTGTTTAATCAAATCAGTTGTCAGCATTTACTCACGTCTTCATTGGTTGATCGTAACAGCTTTCCACACTTAATCTTCCAGTTCTTTCCTTTAGTCTCGTTTGTGCAACCTTCAATGGCTTCATTTTGTCATCCGTAGTTTTCTGTAGTGCATCGATTAAATTTTCCACTTCATATAATTCTTGTGTAACCTAGTGATCAGTTTAAGTTTAATAGATATACAGATGAAAAAACGAGTGATTACTTTTCTCAGGGATAAACGAAGGTTATCTCTTGCATTGGTTACTTCAGTAATCCTTGTTTGTAGTGCGTTATTTACGGTAATGAACTGACCATGTACGTTGCCAATTATAGATCTTAAAGCAGCATCTATTTTCTCACGTAAGTTTTCAGATGCATTACGTTGGTTCTGTGATCGGATTAAATTTTCTTGTGTATATCTCATCCATGAGGTGGGATTACTTCGACTGAAAAATACGAGTTAAATGTGTCGACGTTAAACGTATAACAAAGGTATTTCTATGTAACTTTTCCATACTACTTACTTGATTGTAAGTATACTAATTATATCAAGCAAATAAATAAAACCTCTTTTTTAAGTAATGTATTCTTGTTCAAATAAAGACATCAGAAACTTAATCTGAGCCATTTAATAAAATGTTAAAAGAGAATAAAATTCATTTTGTTTAAAAGAGTGTAGAGCAAGGGGCCGTAGTATGATGCACACCTATTGTATGAATCGGAAATAGAAAAGCAATTTTGGTAGAACTAAAGAGTTCTACCGTCATAGCAGGATTGATAAATGACTTTGAAATAAGCAAGCGAAGCGAGCAGGTCATTCATTATTTTTCGGCATGAAGGGGCTGTGGCAATTCTAATGACTTATACCAATGAAACGGTACGAGATCTGCTCAGTTCTCAAGATTTTTTGGATGAGAAATGAATATATTTCTACTGACTTAAGATCACGGTGAAAAATACTCGTGTGGGTGTACGAACCAGCGTTTAACAAATAAAACTAGCATCGGAGTCAAAAAATTACATACAAAGTTTCATTGCTTATATTTTAAGATATAGAAATTTGAAGTTAGCTTGTAAATCAGAACTTAGTCAACCAGTAAGTTATCTTTTGAGCAAGATGTCGACCAACTCTTGAGGTGGGAACTGTCCGAAAGAAATCATTATTCATAAAGTTATAATTTAATGGGAATGTAATTAGTGGGACCCTATTGCACAGAATGTTGAGGAACGTTAAAGGAACTTTTTTATGTAGCTAGTCTCAGTCTGTTGTTTTCTAGTCGACGAATTGTTGCATGTCCAAAGAAGGAGAAGTTACCGAGTTCCTCCACTTCCATGCACAATCTGTAGCTTTCAGCTGCATTTATGAGTCATCTGTTGAAAAAAATTTTCTGCTTTTTCATTCAAACGAATATTAATGAGTGAAGCGACTTATGTTTCAAGTCAATCGTTCTGTGGTTATTAATAATTTGCAGAAAGTTTTCGTGATATGTCAGTGTCAACTGAATGTATGTCGAAAATAAGGGATCTCCTAGAAATACTTATCACTATTTACCGTCAGTTCAAGAGTCGACTACTTAGTTGTAATGTTTGAAGGGAACCTATTCCAAGTATAGTATAGTCTTGACAGTGTGATGCAACTGAGTAATCATGAACAATTCCATACACTAGACTGCATATTCAAACGTCGGTAAGTGAAGTGGGATCGGCAAGTATAGCTGACTGTTTGAAAATTAATTGCACATATCAACGAGTCTTTGGTCCATATTTAGGTGATTATTAGAATTCACTGTTTGTTTTAACTTCTGAAATGCTTATTGGAGCAAGTCACGTGAATTGGGGTGTGACTTAAAATTCAAAAAAGGTCATCATAACTCTGTGGTTTGTACAATACTAGTGACTTTTATCAAAGGATATTTATTTTACGGATAAATTCAACTTAATTGATATTTGTCTAATGAGTGAAGTGTCAGTAAAATTATCCATTAAGTAAATGCTATTCATCTGATTATCAAATTCATGAAGAACATTGAATATGTATATTTTTTAAGTGTTTTTTTCATCATACATGCAAATAGAATAGTCTAATGGATATTTTATTTTACCTGTTGAAAATTTTTTATTTCATATAATTTAATTAAGGACCATTGTAATTAATTTTAACGCCTTTTAATTTGGGAATAAAGGTAGATGGCATAGCAAATGCTTAATCGATAGCTTCATCTTTCGATTTCATCTGAATTGCATTTCGAGTGAGAAAACGTAGTAAGGTAGTTACTATGACAAAGAATAAATTGTTACAAGAGTGGTTTTGTTTAAATTAGTGCTTATAATAGGCTGGGCGACGAATAATGAAAGTGGCACTGCATGTTTGAGTTATCAATGTAACTTAGATTCAGAATATTAACTGACTGCACCCAAGTTACAAACGTTCCTCAAGTTTAAAGTTAGTCAAGATAAAACAGTCAAAAACTACTGGATATTTAGCGTTTTAGCGTTATTACTTATGTGCAAAACATGCGACTAACGTAGCATAATTGCTAGCTATCTGTCAGATATAAAGGACTAATCACAGATAAAACCAGGTTTACTGTTCAACCAATATGATAGAATTTACGTTGTTTATTAAGAAAGAAACCAACTAAGCCACCTTGTGAAAATTCATGCGATAGACAATAAACTAGACCTATTTTGTGAGGGTTAATGGTACTGCCTAGCAGCTCAAACCTCAGTAGGTGGAGCAGATGATATACTCACCCTTGACTACTTCCAAGATGCTCATCGAATTCAACAAAGTATGCCTAATCACATATCTCATATGTTAAGGGGAACCACAGCATTCAGCATTCTTGTTACCAAAATCCATATGCATCGGTTATGCGTACAGATTACACTTACAGAACAATAAATACGCTGAGATATCTGAATTTCCATGTAGTAAAACATCTAGTAGATACTTCCAGTTGCACAATTAAGTCTTTGTTTGGAGGATACAATCGAAAAAGAACTGAAGACCTTGTACAATAACCTAAGTGGAAGTAAGTATCCAAATAAATTCGTCAGTAAATACATGTGTACAAAGTGGAAATGAAATGTATCTCAACTTTCAGTAAAAAACTGTTTTAAGTAGGAATATAATTTAGAAAAGTACTTGATGAGGGACTAATTCAAAAGCTAAGAAGATGGATGTAACGAACGTCTTTTGCTGGAAATTGGCGGTTCCTCAAAGGTGAAGTACCTTGGTTGAATACTTATTGTGTTTATCAATTTAGCTACTGGTATGCAGCTGGGTATGTTAGCCGCTGCTGTAAGAATTAAATTCTACATGGTCAGGTACCCGTTTTATTATGGCTCACTAAAATTGTAGGGAAAAGCAAAAATATCTCGATATTAGCCCGTCAAGATCAAGTTGACTATAGTGCTGATAATCAATAATTTTCGATTATTTAGTGTGTCCCTGTTAAAATATCAAAGACTTCCATTCACTGAATATTTCAAACAACAGATGCAGTAGCTATTCAGCCAGAACATCTTGAACTTTGTGTACAAAGGAAGCACCTAAAGCCGTTAATAATACTTCAAATAGCTCTGGGATGTGTAGGTTAATGAGCACCATTCTGAATTAGCAGTTTGAATCGTAAAATTCAACACCGCTTGTACATTTTTATTCCCACCTTTCTTATGACCTTAATTTTATCAAATTCCTTGATTTTTGCCCTTCTTTCTCTGTAAAACTTGACCTAATGTTTTTACTTGACTACTGTTGTTATTCACTTACGCATTCACACAAATGACTTTTCATTACACTTTATTTAATCTTCGCTTATGCCAACTTTCATAATTATTAGCTTTAAATAAAAACTTTCTGAGATGACTGGTTTTAACTATCTAACATTACATGTTGCAGGTAATTATTTCGAACTAAATTCCAGTAATATTCGATTGTGTTGTTTTTTGCATAAGTCTTTTTTAAAGAGAGTTTTCGAACTGTCTGATACTAATCTTTGACTGCTATAAAGTCTTACTGCTGCTAACATTCGTTTATTTTTTGATTAAACAATGTGGATAATTGACTAACTAGCCTAAGAACGAGGCTATCAAAAAGATTTTTTTTCTGTTCATTAACATGCCCTTTGAGATGTGATTGAAAATTTTGAATAGCTAAAACTCCGTGACCACTGATTGAAGTCTTGCATGGATTCAAGTTTCTTCATTTTTAACTTCACTTTTCATGGATTGATATTAGTTGGAGAAATAATGAAAACCTGGGAACACTAGACAGCTGTTTCATCCTAGTAAGGCCAAAACGATACCATTGAGCCTCTGGATAGGAATCCAGTGGTCCATATTAATAAATTGATTGATCTCCGGAAACCTCCAGATGGAATTAATCTAGCGCTCATTGATGATTAGCTTCGAGAGGTGATTCCCGAAGTTCTAGTGAGAAGTAGTGACCAGTGAAGTCAACCAAGTCGAACAGAGGACAGTTAGTCAACGACGACACTGAATGTACCTCACGCTATATTATATATAACTGATAGAAGTAGGAAATATGAATCATTGGATTCCGACCTAGTGGCTCAACGGTAACATGCTGGTCACGAAATCTGAAGGTCCTGGGCTCGACCTCCGGCGAGGCGGGGTCACGGGTGCGCACTGGAACTTTATTTCCTCTACATCAATGCTTTAAGAAGTCGACATGTTTTGTATCTAAGTTATAATACAATAGCAGATCTAATAAGCGAGATAAAAACTATTTTCATTTGAATAAGAAACAATATTAGTCCTTTATGTGTTAACTGCTGCATTTTTTTAAGAGAGACCTACAGAAGTATATATAAAGTAAACTGGATTAAGAAAAGAGTTCTAAGCTCATTCTACTTACGTTTTTATGAGATATGCATTGGGGATCAAAGTAAGTCTACCCATGTAAGTACTTCCAGCACCTCTTTGTAAAACTATCTGAATTGTTATCTAGCAGAAATGACTGTATAATGATTAGTCGCTAGCAAGTAATCCATTTATTGTATACTCCTAAGTGCTAACTGACTTCTTTTAGTCATTTTGTAATGTGGCCACCAGACTAAGAGGCTCAACATCACAGTGCACTCTGACTGATTTTGGAGGCAATCAGCAAGAAACCGTAAACGTAGGTTTTGTTCTTGTTGACCCTAATCAACTAGGCACCACCGCAGCCTCAACGGACGTGATGTCCCCTTAGATATAAAGTAGATTCGAATCCATTTGAAAATAATAGTTTTTTCCAGGTTGCACACATGCCTTGCTGAAGAGTGCAGACAAGCACGAAACCCAGGTCCAGGGTTCCCTGTCGATTACCTTCGAATATCCAACAAAAATGTCTGTTTTTACCAATTAAGTATTGCGAAAGGTCATTCATATTTAGCCACAGGCTTTGCAGTGACTTTCTGGAAACCTTCATACACTTCCAAGTTTATGTAATTGTACTTGAAATACTTATAAATGGAAACTAAGGGATTTCGGAAAATGATGGATGATAGCGATGTGAACGTTCTGTGTTATATTTATTCGAGTGAAAATATGCTCTACACTAAGATGACTGATGATTAACCTTTGAGTAACATGATAGCTGTAGGCTTTAGTGCGTTATTCCTAGAGGATAGTTGTTGGTGAATGATTTGTTTATTTTGTGGAGTTTCAGCTTATCGACCAAGGCACCTAACTTCCAGCCGATAGGTCCAAACTCTACTGCATCTACTGAGGTACGGACAGCTAGGTAATATCATCAAGCCACACACAATGTGTTGATCCTTGTCTACTGTACTAGCGTGTATGTGGTTGCTGAGTGCATCTGATTTTTCATTCGCTTTATTAAGCAAGAAAAAATCTAGATAATAGGAAAATCTGAATCAGAATACTTATACCATAAGCTGTAAGTGTCAGCTACCATTGTGATAGCGTATTTAAAATGAAAGTAACCATTTTAAAAAATCAGTTTAAACTGAAGGAACCCACGTATTGTCTACGTATTCAATCCCATCATAGAAAGCAATATTTGCTGAAGAATTACAGAGACCATACAAGCGATCATCGATCTTATGAGCATGATCTTTATCATTGGCATCTTTTTGCAGCTCATTTTGCATTGTACGTAAAAGTCTAGAAAAACAGAAATTTAAAACGTGTTATCTATTTTGAAGACAATTTGAAACCATTAAGACTTAAAATACGCGTTTGTTAGCACATCATAAAAGTAAATCTAAAACATACTCAGAAAAACTCATGCTACTCTTGAGGTTTGAACCCATATGCCACCTTCATTCACTAGATTGCAGTCTCTATTGTTTAACCCCTTTTTTACTCAGCAACCATCACTTAGACAAAATTATAAATTGATCGAAGGGTATTGACTAGTTAACTTTCTTTTTTAGTCACTCTAATGTTGACGACATCATCTCGATTGAGAAATGAAATATTAACTTTAGTTTTTAAACACTGTCAGTATCCTGAATGCTACCATATCACCTTTATGTGGCGTGATTCACGTTAGCTTCATTAAACAATGTCGGATGCTGGTGGTGGACTTGGATACATATCTATGGCAAGTCTTAACATTATGTTGATGACCAATAGATATTGAGCGACTTTAAAGGCTATCCTAGCAGCTGGAGAGATAAGCAATCAAGCTTCTATTTTCTATCAAAAATTAAGTTTCTAGCCTAAATACCGAAGCCTGATTAGTTGGTTCAGCAGTTACCAAGGTGGCCTTTAAAGTTACGCATCAATATTCTTTGAGGTGTCGATAACCAACATTTAAGGATAATACATTTCTACTCACAGTGTGGCAACCAATTCATTGGTTTGCAGTTTATTACAAAATAGGGTTAATTATTCGGGTTAGAGTCGGCGATACGATATGAAATGGAATATTCAGATAAATTAGTACACAAGAAAGTGACCTCTGAAAGCTTCACCCCAGCCACTAGCCAGTAAAAATAAGATAAAGCGGTAAGAAACTGGATTCGTTGGTTATCGCTGTGAACTCCTTATGAATAAAGTAAACAATAATATTTACTTATAGAGGTTTTAACCAGGCTGTCTTGTAAATAAATCATTCTAGTAGCAAGTTTATGAAGTCAGATTTATAATTGTATAAGAGCTGAAATTTCCGAAACAGTGTGATCAGAAATATTAAATTTTCCAGCATATCAGAGTTGAAGTCTTAGCAGATAGGGATTCTTTCTAACAGAAGGCTTCTAGAATTATTGAATAAATCTCAGTGATTTTAGGTGGGTAAGTGACTGTTCAAAAGGAGTACCCTGATGAGTACAATCAGCACTTACACAGAGAAAAATAGTTTTGTCAAGATGCTTAGAATAGATCCAGTTGAAATACAATCACTAATTCACTTGACCATACAAAGATGACTTGATGTCAGTACTACTTAAGTTAATCATTTACATTGTAAAATATTCATTTTGCGGGTGTCAGTGTATTAGGGTTATCATTTGAGGATATGTTGTGAATGTAAACTAAATGTGCACTTTTAAGTAGCTGAAAATAAGTCTCGGAAGTGAATATTATTCCGTGTCTATTTTAAATAGCTTAGTAAAATACGTTTTATATGAGTTCAAACAGTAAACTGTATTTTGGAAGTGCACGTAGAATACTGCCACTATTCTGAAATAACTCTCACAATACAATCCCTAGAACTTGCTTTTTGTGAGTGTTTAAAATCATCATTAAGCACAAATATTTACTTTGGTTTGGGATGTAACATCTCTACGAAATGTCATTCTTTTCATAATTGAGTAAAATTAAACGTATGGTAAATATTAGCTTGTAGTAACTTTATCATTTTCACGGTCGTTTTCATCAAGCGCTAACATCAACTGAAGAATCACTGGAAACCTAGGAGCATTGACAACACTTTCGTCCTAGTATGGAACCTCTCAGCACTGCACACCCAAGACCCAGTGAGGAATTAAGCTCGTGACAATCAGATTTTATAGCGAGCACGTTATGTTTCAGCCAGTGGGGTAGAATCGAATGGTTCACTCTTACCTACCTGTATCAATTTGCGATATAACAATGTCATTGGCGAGTACTTTCCCTCGCCTAAAACTCGATTGACTTTGTGGTTTTTCGTTGGAATTTCATGAAATGTATTTCAAAACATTTTTTCCCCACTCTTGTTTAAGAATCTTCAGCTGCTGGTTGAAAATTTCTCAAAGATATGAATCCTCTCCATATTTAGCATCGATAACTCACAAATAAACATTTAAAAGGAAATATGTTACTTGTACAAATGACAACATTTGAATAGTTTGAATACACTGTAAGCTACAGTAATCCTAACACTACAAAACCAAACCATATTATGTCCATGGTTAGCCAATAGATTCTATTTAGGAAACACTTCAACGTAGTCTATATCTCGAGTGTTTATATGCATTGGTTTAACTTCGAGTAACAAACTGCATTGAGGTGTCAGACAGTAACAAAATGACATTACTCATTTGTGGTTTTCTTAGTTATATCCATAAAATAAACACCGTTATGCCGTATTTGCAATTAAAGAATAACTGTTTTAAGTTCTGTCATACACATACAGTGAAGTTATGCAAAGTCGGTTGTACTGACATAAAAATATCTTAGATCAGTAGATTCGAAACACGAGAATAAGTATCATCGTACACTTCACAAAATATAAATGAGTATAATCTTAAATCGATATTTTAGTTAAATCTTCAAAGCAAATACTCATATTAATCGCTGTCTCACTTCCCGGTTACCTTTTGGAAGTGAAAGAAATGACATTAAACCTGTTTAGTTCTTTAAGTTGGGATATCAACAGACAGTTAACCTTACGATATTCATTAATTTAAGGAGACGAAATCTACTGTCAAATTTATTCCTCTATGATTTGTTTCCATGATATAAGATAGTACTTGTACATTATTATGTTACCTGTTAAATATGAAATAAAATTAATTTATTGTCAGAAGAGAATAAAAATATCATGAAAATGTCTGTGCAGTGTCTGGAAAGTTTTAGAATCCATATCTTGGCTTTTGTGCCGCAAAAGATAACAAAATATAATTGTTACGAAGACAAAGAGTGGTTTCTGGATAGAATCTGAAAATCTTGTGATTGGTTTGCATGGAAACGAGTAATCGAAAAGCTGTTCTCATCATTGACTGACATCAGTTAGAGAAACACCAGAAACCAAGGAGTGTTGGATAGTTACATTTTTGGTATTTAAGTCTCAGCAGTCTCATCCCCTTCAGGATTTAACTTGTATGAGAAACTGGAAATCCTTTGAAGTTTCAATCTGTTTACAGACAGCTTTTGGTTAAAAACCATTATAAACTAGGGAAGAGTAAATATTTGCTTCATCCTACCTTATACCCTCTTGGTAGTGCTCACTACCCGCTGTTCGTAGAAATGACACATCAGACACCTGATCTCGTGGTAGGGATGTTATTTGTCAGCTCCTTACCCGCGTCATGCTGTGAATATGATAAGTCTCAGAGTAGGAATAAGCAAATTCTAAGGGCCTTCTGATTTCAACTACTTTTTTAGCTAATATTGATTCGTGACGAAAACAGTACTGAAATCTATCCATCAATCTCCCTCAAGATACTCAGTTAAGAACTTACTTAAGTTGAATTTCAGCTTTTTCAAAAAGTTTGCCAATTTGTTCGATTCCTTTGTTGACATTTTGAACTTCCTAAAAGTAAACATGTTATATAGAAAAATTTTTTATCATAAAAAAATCCTATGAATATAGTAATACTAATGACAGATTTTTATTTGCATATTTAAAGAATATGTCAACTTACAAATGAATATAATATCTGATATTTCACAAAGATCACTACTAAACATGTTTCATTGATTGCCTTAGAACTTAATATTTCTCTTGAAAAAAGTAAACATCGGAATGGGATTTTTTGGAAGGTCAACAAATAGGGACAATCTATTTTTAACACTTTGCAATCACTAGCCCTTACCTCATATGAATCAATATTGTTCAACCACATGTTTAATCATTAAATTCTTCGTTTATTTTGTTGTGTAACTAGAATACTGAAGTTAAGTGATACTCATTTAGGAAAGTGAATTATGTAGTGGTTGATAGATTAAAGGAGTAGACTGGTGTTTAATATATGCTGCACTTGTGTTGTACGACAAAGAATGAAAAATGCATACTACTCTCTGGGCATGATATATTTATTAAACTCTCAGAACAGTGTTTTATTTATAGAACAAATTGACTGATATAAGGAATCATGTAAAATTTAGGATTGCTCTTTAGTTACTAGATTGGGATTTTATCACTTGGTGATCCAGTCCAACTAATGTCTGCAAGCACTAGATTTCGCTTATCTACTCTGTAGTATTTTGTCAGTTTGTATGCAAAATACTTAAGGTCGAGTCCAGAGTACTTTGAGTAGATGGCTAGCATCTCCATCTGGTATGTTTCTAAATGTGTTATTGAGGTGATATGAACCCTTCAAGATACCTAAAGATAAAACAGCAACATGAAACTGTTACATTATGTAGTTTAAGTAATTTGAAAGCAGTTTTATTTCTTAACTGTATTGGTACAACCTTTATATACGTTCAAAGTCGTTTAACAGGTGTATTCGAAATTTGGAATTCAAAACTAATCATAATTATCCTTTTAGGTTCTGAAAACTAAACAGTTTCTTTATTCTCTTCTGTATCTTTGATTGGAAGATCATTATTTTGAAGCCATGAATAAAGGGTGTTTAAACTTGCTGAACATTAAATATATGTTAAAGGTGTGCTGGAAGGAATTCATATATCCACAGTGCATTCCTGCACTTTTTGCCTTGAAATGGACCATTATCCTTAGTCCCAGTGGAATTATATGAAGACTAGACCTAGAATGAAACATCTGTGTGCAAAACTGAAGTATTCTTACACACCACAAACGTTTTACAGTCTTTTTCAAATATTCGTTCCAAGGATCAGTAACTTTCGATGATATTTTTGGTGATGCTGAAAGCTGATATTCTGAAGTCAGTTCACTTAGGCATCATGAAACTTGATTTCATTCAGTACACATTACAATTACCGGGAATTGAAACATATCCTTTATATGATAACAGAAATAGTCAATTTATTTAAAAAAATATATAGTTTTTAAGAACCTGTAGTTTTTATTGCGACTTATTCGAAAGCAATCATGAAAGCAGCGGTGATACGCTTGTTGAATGTATGAACGAAATCCACGACACTTCATTAACACAGAGTTATTAATACCAATTATTTTGTTGAAATATTGTCTTATCTTGGATAGAATGAGTCTTATCTCATTACAATATTTTAGATTATTATATATTTTCAAGTTAGACTGGACACTTTTTACACATGCTGTCTAAACTAAGACGTGAAATCGTATTTATAATGAAATCAAAAGAGTCCTATGACAAATCACTTCATTTTGTCGATAGAAATGAATGTAAACGGTGGTTAAATATACCTTTCATCACTACTGAATATCATGTTTATGATATTAGTATAACATCTTGAGAGATTATTACTTTTCGCTGATTCAAACTTAACTCAGTAAAAGAATTGAGTACCTTTATATTTCATCTAGTTCAGCTAATGTAATCAAAACTGGTAAACTGAAAAGGTAACGAATATATGGGTAGAGATCCTTTATTTGTATACAATATATGCACTGTCCTCGAATTAAATGGAACAGAAAGTACTTTTAAAACGTAATTTATTAGAAAACACCAAAAACGAATCAAAGCGTGACAAAAGATTGATAAAAACTGCAATAATTTATAGTCAATTTAATGAACTTCAGCATCACACGTCTGTTCAAATCAAAATTAATCAAAATGAGCATATAGCTAGGTATTACTGAACAACGGTTCAAGCTGCTACGCCTCATATCAGCACAGCAAGTAGCAAAGGAGTAAGAGGAATGATGAAGAAAGAGGGAAAATTCAGTCTAAAGCAACAGAAGAGGGGATGGAAGAATAAGAAAATACTGAATTCACTATGGCATTTAAGATGAAGGTAAAGTGTGGATACATCTACGCCGATAACATCGATTCTGAGCCATATCACTTAAAGTTTCCAACCACTGGTTTCCAGTCGCATGGAGTCTGATTACACTGATATGATTATGAGCAATAATTTATGCTCGAAACGTCATGTAGTAAATAATACTGTATCACTGTGGCGACATCAAAATTCTAATGGGTGGGATGACATGAATGCCAAACTGGGAGCGAACAACATAGGAAGAGAACTGATCATGAGTCGAGAGGCACTCGATGAAATGAACAAGAATGGAGAACTGTTTGCAGACTCTTAAGCATTCAACTATTTGATAATTGGAGGTAGTGTGTACAGACACAAGGATATTCGCAAAGCTACATGGACTTCACTAGACACCTGGACACACTAAAAATCAGATCGATTTCATTTCAATCTGAAGAAAGTGGAGACGCAGCCCAATGGACATAAGATCAAGAAGGGGAGGAGATGTAGGTTCAAACCACTCACTGTCTAGTGCAAGAAATTTTCAAAATAAAGTAGAGAACCTTCAGAGAAGTTGGTGATAGACCACAGTTCGAGTTTATTACCCAGAACAGAAACTGGACTGGAGGACGAAACTGGGAAGGACATCTTCACGTCAGTCATCAGGACAAAGTAGTAAACATTTAGCAACATCCCTGAAGAAACCTGCGTTGAAGAACACTGGAACTCTGAGAAAGAGACGTAGAAGAAAGCCTGCATAACCGCTTTAGGAAGGAAGAAGAAAGAGGACAGGGAACGGATCTCGAATGACACATAGAAACTGATAAAGGAGAGGAAGATGGTGAAGCAGAAGATGAACCAGTGCATTGCATTGTAGTGCAGTGCAGGGATAGACAATGAAAAGAGGAACTGAGTAGAACGTATAAAACACTGTACAAGTAAGTGAAGCGGTGTGAGCAGAAATACAAAAGACACTTCCACGACACTTTTGCAGGTGAAGCACAACAGACTGCTGGTAGGAGAGACCTGATAACACTGTATCAAATAACCAGGTTACTATCTGGGAAGAGATCAACGCAGATGAAACAAATGAAAAATAGTGAAGGAACCCTAGTTACCAAAGAGGAGAAACAAAGGAAACGATGAGCTTACCACTTCAAAAAACTCTTGAATCGACCATCACCACCACCTCCGGTTCTTTCAGAAATATCCCCAGCAACCGCAGAATTACCAGTGAACGCAATACCTCCGACAAAAGCAGAAGTCCTGAACACCATAAAGTTAGTGAAACCCGGGAAAGCAGTAGGACCAGATGGAATCCCGCCCGAAGCAGTAAAAACAGACGCAGAGACAACAGCGGACGTGCTCACACAACTACTGAAGAATGTTTGGAAGAAAGGAAAGTTACATGCTCATTGATTGGAAGAATGGCTACCATGTCAAACTCCCCAAGAAGGGCGACCTAAGTCTTTGCAAGAACTGGCGAGGAATCATCCTCCTGTCCACCCTAAGCAAAATATTAAGCCACATCTTATTGGAGAGACTAAAAAAAGCTCTGCATTCGAAATTATGACCGAAAGAGGCTGGCTGGCTGCCTTCAGAAAGAATAAATCATGTGCCGATCAAACAACAACGCTGCAGTTCATATCATCATAGAACAGAGCATAGAATGACAGTCAACTGGATCTCTACCTCAGCTTCATCGACTTTGAAAACGCCTTCAACAGCTTCAACACTACAATCTTAGCACCACAAACCCTTATCAACCTCATTCAACAGCAACTATATGCCATATGATCAGACTACATGTGACATGATTCACAATGGAAAGATGAGTGACGCCAATGAAGGGAAGACAGGAAGGAGTAAGACAAGGTTGCCACCTGCTATCACCGATCATCTTCCTGATTGTGGTCAAATGGTCTGGACTGGACCAGACTGGATCACGCAAGAAACTGTGAGGAGTGAGAAGAGAGGCATACGCTAGCTGGACCGATGAAAATACCCCAGATGAAAATATGGATTTCGCCGATGATGATTTGTGTCTAATGTCTTGTCGCACAAACTCGAAGATGTGCAGGTGAAAACCAACAAGTTGGCGGAGGAGGCAGGACAGCCAAGGAAGACGGGACTTCGTTCAGGTGAACGTGGAGAAGATAGAGGTGATGAAGATAACCAACCAACCAACCAACAAACAAACAAACAAGCAACATCAACAACAACAACAATAACAAGCACCAATCACCATTGACGGGAGAAATCTAAATGAAGTTGTCTCTGTCACCTACCTATCTACCTACATACTCACCTACCTGCCTGCCTACCTACCTACCTACCTACACACCTACCTGGCCAGCATCATCTCAACTACAGGTGGCGACGGCACAGATGTGGGTGTCAAAGGAAGGTTCTAAAAGACAGCGAAACAGACCCACATCAATCTGAAATCACTGTGGAGATCTACTGCATTCCACTCTACTCCACTCCACTTCACTCCACTCGACTCAGCATCAAGCGTGAACAAGATGTGGATTTCCAACACTAAGTCAGTCAAGTCATTGCTTCTATGTGATGGTTGAGAGAGTTGGTGGCGCGTCACGAAAAGCATTTCCAACAGCTACCACCTACGCTCACTCGATACTGAAGATCAGATGGATGGTGAGAATAATAAGAATAAGTAAGGGGGAATTCTGGCTGGCTGGCTGACAAAGAAGCAACCAACAACCAACCCATCACCCAACAAATATGCAAAAGAGGAAGAGAGTGGAGATGGGTTGTATTGTGCATAGACTGAGAAGACGATTTAGTGACATCACGTGGCCGGCCAGGTCGTTGAGTGTAAGGGGAACGGGAAACGACGATTTGGGTGGTGTGAGCGAGGGTGACGTTGAGGATATGATGTGAGGAGTAAATGAAAGCTTGTTGGTAGTTGTGGAGGTTTGTTTGAATGACTGGAGAGAAGAGAGTGAAATGGTGGCATGCTGCTGATGTCTTATGTTCCATCAGTAACCCAAAGCACAAGTAATAATAATAGTAATGTCTTGTGTTTTGCGGTAGAGGACTGAATGCTGATGTTCTGACTAAGCCCAGAACCAAAAGCCTGTGTCTTTGGACCCCTAACTTTAATTATTTACGCTGCAGTAGAGCGAAGACAATTGGAAATGAAGTGAAATTGAGCCTAAATTACAATCCAAAATTTCATTTGTTAGTTTACAGTGTCTGTGTTTAGAAGACTACTGTCATAAATTGATTTACACATAGTTACAAAAGTAAGATTATTAGCTTTGAGACGTATTTCACCGAAATTTTGTTCATTACATTATCAGGTAACTTAAAACATCAAACGTAACTTCAAGGGTTGACAGTTTTTAAGTTTGTGGTTACTACTGACTGAAAACGAAACTTTTCAATGACCAATACTTAGTTTTCACATATACATATATATATTGTAATCTGAAGGGAAATGATGTTTCTATTCCTTTCTTGTCTTTTTGATTTATTTCTTATATCCTAATGGTTTCATTTAATTGAAGCTGTAATTAAAAGCAAACTTGGCTTGCAACAATATTTTTCAGTAGTATAAATATGTGTAAGGTGTTTATATCCAGTCATTTCCGTGTATATTGGTTGAATTTTATTATATCCTATAAAAATCACAACATATAAAGTTCACTCGATATTCATTGCATTATACATAGTTTCTGGTTAGTGATTTATTTCGAATTATTTATGCACAAAATTTTGATAATAGTTTCACTTCTTGTTTTTATGTATATATGCGTATATATTCATTCATTCATTCATTTGTAATTTATGTCTTTTTCTGATAGATCTGCTTTTTTGGTGAATTTAATTTATCTCCCTTGGAAATTGTTCCTCTTTCCTCCCACCTTTTATGATTATTGTTTTTTGTTGTTTCTTGCATAGATAATGATTTTTCTCCCAAATTTATTGAAAAAATATGTTTAATTTCGGATTTTCTCCAGTTTATTATGTTGCTTATTATCACTGTTACCATGATTATTTCCTTCTGAATTCTTTTCAACTGTATTTTTCTCTCTTCATTTTATTATGGCGCTAGTTGGTATATTAATTTAATTTGAAGAGTGTAGTCTTTTATATCGTTGGTATTACATTTCTAAATATCTTATAGAAAAATGTCTAAGGGTGAGAATATTTCTATGGTCTTTTATTCGTTTGCTTGTTTGTGTGTGCGAATATTTTTGCATACATTTAGAGTATATGATGCATTAAAGACAAGGTTCAGTTATTTGAAGAAAATAGATTTGTAAGTTATCTAAAAACTTGATCGGTATCAAGATTGATTTTAATAATAGATTAGGCAGAAAACGATATAAAATGTAGTAACGAAAAATCCATTCATCCATTATATTTGTTAACTGTTTTGATATCATTTAGTGCAACTTTTCTTTCTAATTAAAATGTGAAAGTTTAGGAGAGGTATATGATTGTTCAGTTGCTATTCATTAGTTTAATTGTTGTACTTTCAGTCAGTAAGTTACATTCCATTCTTTTTGGAATGTATCACATAGTAAAAGATCACTGCTTACTGTTTCATTGCGTGAAACATATGAAAAGGAAACATTATAAGGTTATACTCTAGCATGGTACCCAAATTCTATTTTCAAATTAATCATTTAGCTGCATATCTGAATCATGCTTCACTTATTGACATTTAGTCAGCCAGGCGTTGTTATAAGCATTTACAGAATAGATGTATTCTATAGCTTGATGTACATACTCTTGTTCTAAGAGTTTTAGTCTTATCACCTGCCGTCTCTTCTAAGCAGATTTTATGAATTCCGGACTATAGTGAGTAAGTAAGATTTCTTTTACTGCTGAGTGGTACGCAACTATTAAGGTTTGTGAGTTATTCAGTCCACGTCAGTTTGTGATAGACCGACCTTTGGAGTACACCATAATCTATTCTCTTAAGACAAACAACTATTGTTTATTGTTATAGCCTGTGGTTTCCCATCCTTGACTGAACCATACCGATCAACCACTGTGGGGATATAAAAGGTGTGCAGGTGCCACAATGTTGTTGGCAATTTAGGTTTGAAGCTAGTAATGGATAGTGAATGGTGGTGGAATCCACGCTACACAATCCATTTTGTTTGGGACTCGTCAGTCGTATATATCTGTCTTAGTGTGCCATTACGTTCTCACTGAGACTTGAGGCCAGCAACAAGCAGCTAGGCAGGAGCCCATTTGCTGATACTGACTTATGAATTCGGTCCAGTCAACGATAGTAAGCTAAAAGCTGTAACATCAGACTATATTCATCGTCCAGGGAGTGGCTGTTGTGTCTCACTGTCCTGACTAATAACGCTCTGACGTTTGAAGTGGTGGCTGCGAATTTCGAGTCTAAGTGATAATATCACTCACTGGGGTTCAGGTATATCTGACTGAAGATACTTGAACAAAACAAAACGCACCTAGTGGATCCCGTAGCTAGCCATTATGCATTATCATTTCCAAACTATTTTTAATGATTGTGCTGATGAAATTCAGGTACCAGTGTTGCGAAGATTGATAAGAAAAGTGTTATCTCTCTTTTTATGAGTCTCTGTTTAGCATGTAAATTATACAGTGACTATTATTTGTTCTCAAAGGATTTTATTACATCAGGATTCTGGCTATAAGTATGAAGGTTCCTGTTAGTCAAAAAATAATGCATTATTCTTGACTAAAATTCTCCATCAACCAGATAACGTAAAATTTTGCTTCCCTTTAATGCTATGGATACATGGGTTCAGGAACTTCAAATCGAATCGTTATATGTTGAAGGTGTATCGAAGAAGGGGACTTCACGAACTGACTTAAATCTTCGGTATCAATCACTAGAAAATGAAGTCGAACAAAGTATATGTAAACAGTGTATCTTTCAAATGAAGCTGACATTTATTAAGGATCAGGAGATTGAAGTACTTGTAGCCTGTAATTTGTGTGTCATCAGGCCTATTAAATCATTTATTCATTGGCTAGGAAGCATAGAAAATCGTGTAGTAGTAGTGTAGTGAGCGTTGCTGATCAGAATGGATATAAGCTGCATATGCTGAGAGAGTGGCAAAAATCACAGGGAATTACCAGCAGTAGGTAAGGATTTTGCTTAGAGAAACGCAGGCATATTAAGAGCAAATCAAGATAAAAGCAGAAGAGGAAGCCAAGCACATTATACAAACTATTGTCTTAGTGCCAGGTTTACCATATTTGATGACTACTGTACCAGACGTTAATAATAAACATTCATTCCTTCGTCTCTGTCTTCTCGTTCCCTTCAGTAGTAGAATGAATTATTTGACAAAATTGTTGATGACTGGATTACATATGAATCAGGATTTTTAACATCTTGTTATGGTTTATACTTCACAGATTGGTTTTTCGATACACCGGGTTCATGACAGTTTCTATTCGAACAGCCATGAATAAACTTCGGGAATTTTTAACCTTTATGATGCTGCATAGCTGCAGCTACGTAATTTATGACACTGATATGTTATTTTCTGCACGTCTCTTGAGTGGGCATTGGATTTATTGGTAGCCTGATCAACTACTGTCCTTCTGTCTACTATAGCCTTTCCAATCACAGCACACAGCACATTCAGTTTGTCCCAACTTTATGTCGTAGGCTGTTTTCAATTTGTAACTGTTATATTTTGTCCTTTCGTACCCCATAATGTTAAGTGAGTAGTTGGAAAAGTGAAAGAATGAATATCTGGGACAGCTGTTTCTTTCTAGTGTAGGACTTCCCAGCACTGCGCACCCATAGCCCCTCCAGGAATCGAGCCCAGGGCCTTTAGATTTCACCATGAGCACGGTACCATTGAGCCAATGGATCGAATTCCAGTTGATCATAATTTACTACTTTTGTCAGCTCGGGAAACAGGGCCACCTTCATCCAATGCCATAGGTGAGTGTTTTCTCTCACATTCGACTCAGTTTACCTCAGTGGTCACTAATTCTCATTAGAGCCTAGGAAAATCTCATATCAAAGCCTGTCACTAATGAAAATTGGACAGCAATTCCATGGTCATGAAGGCGCACTGCTAAGGGGTCCCATATTAAGACAAAACATGTATCCAGTGCCCTCTGGGTTTCAGTGTTTCTCCAACTGATGTTCTTTCACGATGAATATGATTTTGAAACCAATAAATCCTCCCAATCTTCTATGCATATCTCAATACTTTTATTTTACTACTTTACTTACTTTGCTTAATGCCCTTTCAACGATATCTTTAACTTCATCAATTCCATATCTTTGTTCTCTGTTCGCTAGGCATTCTTCAGCTATTTCTAGTGGTTTTTTGATATACTCCTTGTTACAGTTCAGAAGTTGAATACTTGTCTAAAGATGAGAAAAGAAGTAAAACAGCGAGGTGTAACATTTTAAAGTTAACTGGTTTAGTTATAGTCTTTGAACATAAAATGTGTTTTTTTGACGAAGTGAAGGATCGTGAATTTCCAGTTTATGTTATGTGCTAATTAAAAACTCGGAGATTATTGATTCACAATTACAGAAACATCCATGAGACATTTTATAAATATAGTGAGTAACTAACCAATATTCGTTGCTGGGTCGCCTATTACCGCAAAATTTACTAAGCACATACGGAAGAACATTAACAACAAACTGAAGGAAAGGGAACGTTAAGAGTACTAATTTTATGATGCGTTTATCTTTTATCCATGTTTATTAAAATAAAAATGACTCATTTCCCTAAATTAACTAAGTATTTTAATCTAAAGGCCTTACCTTATTTGGAAACAATTAGAGGCCACTACTGCCTTAGGCAGTAATTGGCTCGTTAACACAACACCTTGTTCAGCCTAGGTCATTTTAAACCCGTGGTTAGGGTTGTCTGTTTAGCTTAGTCATGGTTACCGGCTACAAAACGTTTCGTCTGGTTGACACAATTAGAAGAATAAAAGGTTTTGAATCGACCAAGTGCTGATGATGTCGCCTTAATTGGTAGCGATTTCTTTTTGAATAGTGATTTAATATCAAGATGGATTTTGAAAGCTACAGAATTATAATAGCACTCTGTTCTTGGTTGGACTGTTAAACAGATAACTACATATATATATATATATATATATATATATATATATATATATATATATATATATATATATATATATATATATATATGAATCAACCGTTCTTATCAGAGATTATAGGCATCAGCTGAATAAAGGGATCATAATGATACACAGGAATATGCTTCAAAATGAAATAAGTTATTGATCATAAGTTTATGATATGGGAAAGCTTGTCAGTGATAATAAATAGTAGAAACCTTTTTCTAGTTTTTTGAAGGCACTACTTTAGAAGGCATCAAACCAGTTTTCACCATGGATTGACACCAGTTGGAATATCACAGAAGAGCTGTTTTTGTCTCGGTTTAGTACTCTTCAGTATTGCACATTCAAGACCCCTCCAAGGATGGATTCGGGAACTATTATGACTCATTACAAGTGTGTTATCATACAGTCATGTTTCATTTCGAACTATTACTTTATTGCCAAAAATATAATCTTTATTTTACCGCCTAACCCAATAAATCAAATCCCAGAGAATTAACTTAAAAAACATAAAGGAAGTTTCGTCGTATCCTGCATAAATGACTTAAAGTACCACACTACGAACTACACCCGCTATAACTTGAAGTTCGCTTCTCTACTTAATATTATGACACAAAAGTTTTAAATAAATATTAGGCATTGTTATTCCTGTTAAAGTAATAGATTTTCTCATGGGTGATATTATCAAGTCACTACTTATTTTTGATGGTGTAAGCAGCCATTTGTTTTGCTTCTTGATTGATATTTTCTTTAGCCAAACGAGGTAATTGGGCAAGGTAATAATCTGTAGTGAAAAACTAAACCGATGGAAGTTTAATGCGTAGGAGATTTCTACTTGTTTGTTACTATATATTGAAATAAGTGAAAACCAAGGTTTGTATATCAAGTTTCCTAGTGTGGGCAAAAGGTGGAATGAGTGCAGAAAACACATTATGGTACTCATTGGATTGATGCAACACTACACTATTGATTTTAAGACCTATATTATGAAATTGTATGCAGTTATTGGCTACTAATTAAACTTAATTTGAAAATAGTGAATCTCAGATTCAACTAGTTTTTCCTTGCACCTATATGTGTATTATGTTCATGCTTACAAAGAATGAGTTAATAGTTCCATTTCCGACTGACTACAACTGTTTGTGAAATGATGAAATATCACAAATGTTTTTAAGGCTAAAACTGAGAATTGATTCTACAAAGAAAATATGGCTTCACAAAACTAGAGAAAGATTGGATTGGGATGGGATAGAGATCAGCAAGGTATATGCTTTAAGTATGAAAGCGTAGGGAGAAAAATATTGATAGCTATGAAAACAGTGCTTATGACTGATCATAATTTGATAGGTCTTTTCCTCTTGACTGCTTATAGGAGCTGGATTTTCCTATTTCTGAAGTGATTCGGTTAGAGAACAAGTTCCGAGTGAAACTGCTTCCTGGTTCAGAGTAATAAGAATTCTGTTTATCTAAAGGCTCGTGAAGTAAACTTTGAGGATTGAGTGTCCGTTGAGTGGAGGTGATCGGATATCAATAAGTACTATGATTGTCGGCCTTCTGGCTTCGTGGCTACATTGAAAAATGACTGACCAGCATTCAAAACTAGACGACATGAAATAGGTTGCTCTCTTGTTACTAACCAAGTTTTGTGGGTTAAAGCTTGAAATTGGTGAGTGTCTGCTTTCCAAAGCAACATGGTTTCTTAGTGAAGGATTCTTTAATACACCTAAACACACTGTGCTGGCCAAAGCTATTATCATTTTCAGCAGAAACTTTATACCCGGTAGCCAGTCAAGAAAGTAGTAGTTACCCAGTTTAAAATTTTCCTTCTTTAAATACAGACTTGTACGACGATTCGACTGTTGAGTTTTGAGCTGAATGAAACATAATCCTGTTTATTTTAAACTATTATTAGTGTTTGTAGAAAGGAAGTCTTGAAGCGAAAGCAAGTTCATTGATGAATCATAATTAGAGTTGAGTAGATTGAAAGACACTTCCTTTCCATAAATGTCATTCACAAAATCCAGAGTTTTATCTTTTTCTAAAGTGCTGGTGATATTTTTATGTTTCCGTTCCCGTAAAATCACTCTATTTCCCTTCCAAGCATACATTTGTTTTTTCAAAGTTTTAATCATGTAGGAAGCTATTTGTGTTGGTGTTTTTGTTAGTGTTATTGTTTTGTTACTATCACTATTGTCGTTTTCAAGCTTTACAGTTTTACTCGTCTTCCAGTCTATGGGAAGTAGAAGAAATGATTATTGGTACTTCTATAATTGGCAATATTGTTGTTAGTGTTCACAGCAGCATCCTTATTCAAAAATCACTGAGATTTTCATCGCGATGACTAAAGGTGTGGAATATTTTGGTAATGTCTGGAAGATGAGCGTAAATTGTTCACAACTTTTATTCACTGAAATGAGAATCCCTAACAATTTTTTTTCACATAATTTGAATACTGTACTACTAACCATAGAAAGTTGTGAAGTCAAATCATTAATCACGTTTAGTTTGAGATTTCTTGTCAGTACATACTTCTTCGAAACTTTAAAAAGCCACAGAGTATGATAATTTCTATTCAGTGAAGGTAACCCACTTGAAGTAGCTGTGGACTTTATTATACATACGAAGGCACTGACTTTCCCAATTTGCAAAGGTAACTAGTGCAGGTAAGAAAAGTATTGCAGCTGTACAGATTTATAAGACACTGTGCAGGTGATAGGAACTATCTTTAGATTTAATGATTACTAGCCTCTAAGAGATTTAGGCAAAGGAAGTCAAAAATTTCATTGAAATAAGCATCATGTAATCAGACATTAAGGTTTTGTCTAAAAACAAGCAGACTATGCAGCAGAGTTTTACATAATCTACAGTTTTAGTAAAATTCACGTTTGCGTGTTAATCCAGACAGTCAACACAATTCATGGTAAGCAGTAGAGTGATATTGATGTAAAATACGACTCTATTATTATAAATTCTGATATCATTTCCGGTGAAATTATTTCAGTGAGAAGTACATATTATTAATTTTGTTTTTCTATATACATAACCACTTTGCAAGAATTAACTGATGGATACATTTTATCAGGACAAAAACTTGTCTATATCACAATGATTATTCGCATATTGGTTGCTTAACGCTTCAATATTTATGGGCAGTAAATCAAGTTTACAAAGAATGGTGTAATTACCGGTAGTTTCGTTTCAGAATCTATACAAATTGGAGTCTATGCATCACCATTTTCCTTTTTCCCTACTAAACATACTAACCCCCTTAATAATGTAGTCGAACGTTTAACTTATCAGAAACAAATTACACAAATGTTTTTGTTTGTTATTTGCAAGTTAGATGAAAAATTCATTTTGATAAAGAATTTTAATAATTTGTGGAATATGAAGGCACAAGAAATGAGAAGTAATTATGGAATTTTCTTTTTCAACAACAACTCAGTCAACGAACTGAAATGATTGACTCAAATAGCCTAACCCCCTTGATCATTTTCATCAAAGCTATGAGAAAAAGATGGGAAGAATAAATTGAGCTCATATCAATTATTTGTCCTGTCTTTAGCCAAAAGCAGCCTAGATTCAATACAGAGTTGGGATGGGACAAACTGAGAAACCTACTTCGTGTAAGAACAAAGTAACTGCTTAAGGTGGGAAATATAGATGAAACAGTTACCATCATTTAAAGAGCGTTAGCAATGCAGATGATGGTGGTGATGCTTGTTTGTTTACCGGTAATTGTAAGTAAGATCCTAGAGTCGTAATAACGGGTGTAAGCAATGGTAAAATAGTCAGCTTTATGACATTAAGATAATCATCGTTTTAATAACAGATCTGTTATACCAAAATCAAAAGATGACTGTTATATTGCGTACGAAATATGTTCCATATAAACACAAAAGGGATGAATAATAAAACATGAAATATGTGATTCAGTGATTGAAAGAAAACAGTTGCCAGCGTACAGCCAAATTATTCATTGAATGTCTGTTTCCGAAAATGGGTTTGAAGCTATAGATTGCTGTTGATTCTGTAAAACAAAGTAAACTTCAGGTTGTAGAGTACTTGATGGCAAAGGGTGGGATCCAGAAAGCGTATTACCTCCTCTTTGAGACTCTTTAGCTAAGTATACCTGCACTTCAGTGAGTGATGTCCCCATGAAGACTCAAATCTAGTACCCACTACTTGAAATGTAGAAAAGTTTGAGTGTCAGTGAGGACAATATCACTCATCAGGGAGCATGTAAATGTAACGGACGATTCC